AGGTGTAAGAGTTTACCTATACAATAATAAAATGGTATAGGATGTTTTGACAAGATACGATCCCAACCATCACTAAATGAATTCCTGAAGGCACCATCTTTGTCCATGACATACGCAAAGCCACCAATTGCAACAATTACCTGGATAAAAGTTAATCAGAAACAGGCGGAGGGTTATTATTGCCTTTCAAGAAAAAAGTATACCACAAGAATTACAACAGAAAAAGAAAGTAAATAAATGCCAGAAACGAGAACATAACTGCTTAATTAATTAAAGAATGACATTGTGTATGAACCCTTTTATGGAACATAATCCAAAGGACAATTGCTTACTGATTGTACAGCTAAAAATACAAGGACAACATCCCTTGCCACGAAAACTCTGAATTTTATTTTACGCCAAGAATTGTCCTCATATGATTCAACTCGAAGGTGAAATTGGGCTTTGCAAGTTGTGCAGTGTGAGAAAGCAAATCCCTCCTAGAAAAAACAGAGGGAAGTACAGTAAATAATAAAATAAACTGCTCACTTTAAGAAAAAGGGAAATGCAATTTCCTCACTGTAAGGAACAACAGAAGAGGTTATTTACCTTAACAGAGCGCCAGTGGTCAAGACAGGAGCTATGAACAAACTGCTGGGTGCCTTTACACATGCAAGGTGAAATCAATTCATCCCCTGAAGAGTTAAACAACAGGAATCAGGCCAACAAATATGCCTAGGCAGCAATGAGTGCATCATGACATAGATTTAAAAATATAAAAAAACTCGGAATCCCCACCCCGGGACATATGAAGATCACAGTTTTCCCAAATGGACTAAATTACTGCAACCTACAAACATAGACTAAAACTACACAAGATACAGTCTTTCCAAGTTCCCAAGTATGATTAAAACACAACAATTTAAACCACAAAACAATAAACAATATTCATGAAGAAAAGAAAAATCAAATTAAGCTTAATATCTTTACGCGAGATTGACCTGGTTCAGCATCGCTTTCAAGACAAATGCGACAACAGGGAATGGAGCCAGACTCGAGGTCTTCATTGTAAATCTCACTCGAGCTTCCAGGTGACGAATCTTCCTGGTTCTCTAGCAGAGGGTCCACGTCAGTAGGGTCTCGTTCCCTTTCACCTGGTGGCTCTAGCTGCACTTCTCCTTTCATTGATCGGCCGCAGAAATCGTTCAAACAATTGAAACAACTCCCAATTACAGCAAGCAAAGATCAAAAACCTAAACTTGGTCAAAAACGCAATAAGAGAAGGGCTTCAATTCAATTCAAGTGCAATTCGAATATCTGAGTGAGCATTTGTTTCTTTTACACAAGTTTCTCAGCGATTCCAATGGAAACTCAAAAATTAATTCATGAAACAATTTGCGATTTAATTTTAAATAAATACCTGAATTTTTGCAGAGAATTATCAAGGCAAAATCGTAAATCGGTGATTTTACGAAATCGAGAGGTATAGGCTGTTTAAGGATTTTGATATTTTCTATACGACGCGCGGTGCGTACTGCGCGCCTGGATGACTTGACTGGGTAAACTTGGACTCTGTTTTTTATGGGCTCCATGGATTTCTTTATGTGGATGGATGGGCCTTGACGCTGAATATTGGGCCACTTGACCCGCTTCAGTTTCCACGTCTCCAAACTTAAACTCGATACCAAATTCTTGTGGACATATTTTTGGGAAAAAGAAAAATTGGATATTGATAAGAAAGTAAATAAAGTAGCAAAATATTAAAGCTAAAAGGAACTACATTAGTTTTCAGATCCATAACTTGGCTTAGGAGATGGGATCCATATTAGTTTTTCTCTAATTCGAACATTCGGACAGTATTAATATTAAAGTCCGGTTCTGTAGATTTAAGTTATTGAAAAAGTGCAATGTTGGTTGCAGATTGAACAAGAAAAGTAATCAAAGGAGGAAAACAAGTATTAAGAAGAAGAAAAGTAAAATGTGCGTAATTTCCTTTATGTTTCTAGATTGTTATAAAGCTACACACACACACACCAAACACGAACTAGGTAGTGACTTGACACAAATGACAGCAGCTTGGACGTGTTGACTACGTGCGTGCTTGGTTAGATAGATGGTCCCAAAATTTGGTTTGAATGCTTAAAAGTCATTATCACTATCTGTCTTTTGCATATTTGACTGGTTTGAAATTTACTTGGCTTTCCCTTTACATGACCTGACCCCCATTCATTTCCACGTACCTAAATTCCTCACAAGTCAAGCATCCCACATGCAGCTGACACAGACACATTGTGGAATAATCTTAGCCCAGCCCAGCCCCATCATTTTTCAGTACCCTTTTGCACTGAGATGAGAAATGACAGATTTATTTCCCACGTTTGATAATGTCGGGAAAGTAATCGGGAGATTTCACTTTATTTCATTTCCCATGTTTATTTTGAGTTGGAATGAAAAACAAAGTTTGTATAATTTTTCAATTATACCCATACTAAATCAAATAAAAAAGGAGATATATTGTAATTCTAAATTGTTAATAGGGAAAAAATGGTTAAAATAAATGTGCATTGAATGTTTGGCTTATTTTCCCAAACTTTCTCATGATGAGGAAAAATAAAATCCAAGTTGGGAAGAGGGCTTCACTTTCCCCCATACTTTCCCATGTGCCAAACAATCATTTCTTATGCCTAAATTTCTCGTGTCGTGTGTTATCTTAATTTATTTTTTGTTTTTTACTGTCATGCGAGAAATATGAAAATTCCATGTCAAATAAATATATGGATGAGAGAGGGGAGGGATTATAGCAATGATTGATTCAAGTATTTAATTCCCACCAAACTTAGATGAGAAATTGACAAAGATCGTTTCGTAGCTTCCAAAGCGCAGCAGCAAGCAGGAAATTTCCGGGATATAATTAATGAGAAGTAATAAATATCTAATTTATAATAGAAAATGAAAATGACATATTTTTGTACATATTTGCTGAATATTCCATTGCAAGTTACAATGACCAATAATCAAAATATATATATATATATATATATAAGCAGAATACAAAAGCACATGAGTTCTATCCGCAATCTCCTGCACCTTCCACCACTCATCACACGGTCCCTTGCATACATGACATGATTGAAAATTCAAACCCACTTCAGACCTCGTCATTTCTACATTTCCCACATCACACCCTGCATAAAAATAAAACAAAACCATTAAAATCATCACCATCCATATTTATGGAGATAAAGAAATGAATCTGCTTACTGTTGGAACTCAATGTTGATTGATTCAGCCGATGAATTTGCGATGGCTCCGAAAGCTGTTTGGGACAAGACCATGGTGGTGGCGGAAGCCGACGGCTGTGAATTAACAGAGCCGGCATAATCCACGATCCTGATTTGAATGGTCTTGTCGGGAACACACGTCCCCGTTCGTGCAGCGCTTATGCACCTCACCAAGTACTGCCTCCCGCAGGATGCCCCATTGTCCCATATTCCGTCTCCAGCCGCCGCAAATAAGTTGCTCGAAGGGAACTGCGACGAATCGCTGCCGTAACACGCCGTCGCTACATATGTGAAAAAGCCAGTACATAACATACATGTGCATCGAGGTAATTATAGGTAGAGAAGAGAACATAAATATGAACATGGGGTAAGGATATATAAGTAAATAGACGTGGGATGGATGGTATATATGGGACGTTAACTTACGTAAATACGGAGGAGGGTACTGTGCAGCAGAGCCCACGTCGGCGTGAGATGTGTGTGAAAGGTGTACAAGGAAGAGGATGAGTAGGGAGAGCCATCTGTGTGGTTGAGCTCTCGACATTTTTGCAGAAACCAAAAGGGTCTGGAATTTGGAGGATGAGCTATTTATTTGAATGGCGTGAATTAGCTGCACAGAGATAGATAGATCATAGATAGAAGGAAGAATTCATTGTGTAGAGTCTACAATAAACAAAGAGCATTCAAAGTCAACGTGCAGGTTTACATTGGAATTGGAACTTGGCATTTAATTTAGAATAATTGACGGCTGTGGGCCAGACACTTGAATTATTTAAATAATAATTATGGGTGAATACATACGACATCAACAACTCACCACGCGGCTTTAGCCGTAACGTTTCAATTTGAGCTAACATCACACGTTTACTTTTATTTCATTCGTTTAAAGGTTGAACAAAAAAGTTGATTCAGAAGAATGTTCATCCCATACAAGAGCTTGTATTTTTTTTTTAAAAAAAAATCAATCTTTTGAGATTTATTTATTGACCTATGTACATGCATATGTGTGTATACATGTATCAAATTTGTATTTGTATATTGTATGTACACATATAATATACATATGGGCATGCTTTGCACCCATACGAAGATTTGACTTGTGATTTTATAATTCATTTGCCATATGCACTTTCACATTCCAATAAATCGTATAGGCAATCGTAATCTTATCAATCCCATTGAGAATTGACCCACTGATTGCTCCAGTATCAAGAATATCCAATATGAAATACATATATATATATGGCACAACTTGTATACTGTAGTTCTCCTGGATCAGTCAGCAGTGCAAGAGGTAATGGAGCTAATCAGATAATCAAGTCTAATAATCACTCGACCAAGGGGTAAATTTTAGGGTTTTACCCAGCATTCAATTTCACTGGAAGGAACACGGGTGAATCATTATCCCCAAATATGATTCAATGCATTTAACACCACAAAGCAACATAAAAAATAATTTCAAGTGAAGAATATTTATATAAATCTAAAAGTTTAAAACGAATACCACAAGTCCACAGCCCTTTTAACTTTTAAGTCAGGAAAGTGGTATGTATGCAACTAAAAACTCCCCCACCAAGTAAGCAAGCAAAATGCAAAAGCGTAGTAGCAACAACGGCAATACGCCCATGCTGGAAGGAACACGGGTGAATCATTATCCCCAAATATGATTCAATGCATTTAACACCACAAAGCAACATAAAAAATAATTTCAAGTGAAGAATATTTATATAAACCTAAAAGTTTAAAACGAATACCACAAGTCCACAGCCCTTTTAACTTTTAAGTCAGGAAAGTGGTATGTATGCAACTAAAAACTCCCCCACCAAGTAAGCAAGCAAAATGCAAAAGCATAGTAGCAACAACGGCAATACGCCCATGCTTGCTTGTATCCTCTTCTTAGAATTTCACTGCCTTCTAAACATCTGTCTTTTACGCCTACATTGCCTCCAAGAACACCACGATAGCGTGCATAATTACTTCCACAACTTGCGCAATGACATGTTCTTCTCGGTCTCCTTCTTCATTACCTTGGCAACTGCCATCTCAAAATCTTCTTGTGTCACATGAACTCTTCTCTCCCTCAAAGCAAACATCCCCGCTTCTGTGCAAACAGCCTGCATGGCGGAAATAGAAAGCGAGCGTAAAGATTTGATACCGCACACAAAACCTCGATTAGCTTTAAACCACTGAGGAAAAACGAAAAAATTACCTTCAGTTCTGCACCAGACGCACCATTCATCTTCTCTGCAATCTTCTTCAAGTCAATTCCACGCATTAAATTCATTCTTCTTGAATGGATTTTCAAGATATCCCAACGAGACTGCAATTAATTAAATGCATTACTAAATATTGTATTCATCACGACAGATAAAATAGGCAATGCCAACCATCAAAAGTATTATAGAACTGGAAATATTGCAAAAATGAGAAACCATTTACCGCTGACCAACCTCAGTTGATGGCACACGGACAATCAATATAAAGAGTAAACAGAAATTTTGACCTCTGAATATATAAACCTATTGAAAACATTAATCCTAGTATAGCGACTGGAACTAACCTCTTCATTAGGATTTGGGAATTCAATCTTCCTGTCAATTCGTCCTGGCCTAAGGAGGGCTTGATCCAGAATATCAATACGATTTGTGGCCATTAAAACCTGTCAAGGGATGAATTTAAAGTTGGTGGTGGTCGGATAAATAATAACGTTCAGAAACCAGTGAATCCACATCTGTTCAGTACCTTGATCTTGTTTGATGCCTCAAATCCATCCAACTGGTTGAGAAGCTCCAGCATAGTCCGCTGCACCTCACTGTCACCATTGCCACTACCAGATTCCATACGAGCAGAACCGATACTGTCGATTTCATCCATAAAAATGATAGATGGAGCATGTTCCCTGAAGGAAAAACCAAATTAAAATAAAGTGAGCAAACAGTAAGCAAAAAGATGGGAGCAAATCAGATTAGAAACTGTAAGTGCATGAATCCCATAATCATTATGGGAGGCTTAACAAGAGGCAGATCATTGAATGATTACAGATTCATCCACAACCCAGATCTTTGCAGTAGAGAAAGATAAACATATAATCCAGAGTTCAGGGACACCCCAATAAATTATTGTTCCTTTTGTTTCTTCAAGGTGCCACAGATCGGATGAACATACATGCCTCAGACAATCCGATAGTATGACTCTATTTTAATAATACTGACAGCCCAACATCACAATTATGGGTAAATAGCTTATTCTAACTCAGAATTTCCCTCCACGGATTAAAGCCTCAACATAAAATCTGAGCATAGAATAATTTAAAATTCAACACATAGAGCAACAGAATTTTAAATCAAGGTAACAAAAGTAACATGTGCACATAGAAACAGAAACCAAAACCAATCTCAATAACAAGAGATCAAAACAAACCTGGCCATGACGAAAAGTTCTCTAACCATTCTAGAGCCTTCCCCAATATATTTCTGAACTAACTCCGAACCAGAAACCCTGATGAATGTGCAGTCAGTGTGATGGGCCACAGCCCTAGCCAATAGTGTTTTCCCAGTGCCAGGTGGCCCATAAAGCAGCACGCCCTGTTGTATTGAAGAGTGAGTCATAAGGCACAAATGTAACAGTTAGTGCCTATCTAGGTAAGCAAATAATCAAACATAACAACTTGGCAACACAGTTCTACCTTTGGCTGAGCTATACCAAGACTCTCAAACAATTCAGGATGTTTAATTGGAAGTTCAATGACCTGGAAAAATCATTATACGTTATTTACAACACATGTAGAAGAAAGTGCAGAAGTAAAATATCACACAAATCTAGCAAGCAATCAAATGCAAGTTCAGAAAGTAGGAGTGTGCAGAAGCAAACCTCCTTTATTTCTTTGATTTGCTGATCAAGACCACCGATCATATCATATGTAGAATCAGGAACTTTTTCAACTTTCATAAGGTTAACCAAAGGATCTACTTTGCTGGGCAAGATCAAATGAAGAACATAGCTGTCATTGCGGAGAGCAACTCTTGTTGATGGTGTGATCTTTGTGACATCAATGTTTTTATCAATATCAACGACATATTTCCCTTCTGGATGAACCTGGAAATCGAAAAGACATGAAGTAGGTGAAAAAAAGCATCAAGGAATTTGGTTAGCATAATTAATGCATGGTCTGTAATTAAGACAAGAGTACATAATATCAACTTGATGTTAGTGAAGAACGTAAAACTACTAACCTTAACCAAAACCTTGTTCTTCCCCATCACTTTAACAACTTCCCCTACATATGATCCAGGCTCCTGAAGCAGCTGTAGTTCTTCCCTGAGCATTCTCACTGTTCAAGTTGCAAAGTTAGATAAATTTAATTGATCAATCCAATAGTTCAACTGGACTCGCTACTATACATATAATGAATGGGTAATAAATAAGGGGCAAAAAGGCTTCAAGAACTCCATCAAAACCAGATCCACACGTTATGTTCACATTGGAACGAAGCAGAATCACTGATTAACTGACATTGTGATTGGTACAACCAAATAGATATTGCTTACTAGCTTAAGGACATAAAAATAGATGCTTTTGTTAGAAAAATACTGTTAAATCCTCTTGAGTGATATTTTGACTACATATGCATTCATTTTATCTTCTATGGTATTATACTGGATAAGTTTCCTCCAGTTAAACTGGTTTGATTTTCAGCATTTATTCTTCATAATTATACTCGGACAAGGGAATATGACTGGGTTGTTATAAATGTTACTTCACTCATCAACAAACACTCCGTGTCAGCAAGCGCAATTCCTATATCCACGAAAATTAGTACCAAGTTCCAGTTTCCAGCCTAAGGTATTTCCTCGAACAAAAGAATGTCATAATTCAGATAGGAAAAGACCGAAGTCTTCCATTACTATCTCGAATTACCCTAGAGAATTTGTTGAATCATCTTCCTCGTCAAAATCCACATTCCCACATACTAGTAAACTCGCCAAAAATCAAATCTTTACGCCAGTTTTCATCAAATTAGAAGTACCAATAACCAACACCACTGTGTCAGAATCAAATCAGCAATCATACAATAGCCGAACTACAAAAATCCACCACAATCGACAATTGACTAAACCAAAATTCCCCCAATTATGTAAAGAAAACCCATAATAAAAAATTAGGGTTAGCGCATCACAGATGTATGACTTAGAAAACAAATCGATCGAACCTCGGGAATTGAGCTCGTTACGCTGAGCTTCGAGACGATTGAGGTTGTGGGTCTTCTGGCGGACCTGGAGCTGAAGCTCGTGAATGTGCTGGAGATAGTACTGCCTAAGCCCCTCGCCTTGCTTGGTTGCCTTAGCGGAGCAGGCCTCCTCCGGCACGGCCTCCGGGTGCTTGATCTCGACTCCCACTGCAGCCATTGCGATTCTTTTCGTGCGACAAAAACCTGAGATTTGTGAATTTGGAGAGCTTTTTTTTATGTTTTGCAGCTGCTCTCTGCCTATTTGGGTTTTATAAAGAAGGGAGGTGTTTGCTGCTGGTGTCGGTCTATGGGCGAGGTTGTGTTCGTGTCGTTCAAGAATTCACATGACTTTTGGTTCTTTGTTTTTAATTTTCCTTGGGTGTGAATGTAAAGGATCGATACGCCATGCCCCGTTTGTGAATTTGGGTCGAACTTTTATTGGGTCCAAAGCAACGTGGGCCATAATTTTATCTCGTGGCCTCTCTTTGAAGGGCCAATTATTTGATAAGAGGATTAACTTTTTTTCCGTTGTTTGAGAGAACGAGAATATATTGTATTCATAATTCAAGTCGAAAGACCGCGATTCACAATAACTAATACAAATTACAAATAACCATATAAATATGGAAACACAATAATTATAAGGGGTTAATCCAAATACGAATGAGTCTACCATCACCTCAACTCATAACTACACAATACTTACAAAATTTTGGCAAAAAAAAAAAAAACTACCAACTTGGAAAAACCAGACATATATCTCAACAAACCAAACTACAACTGCAACATTTTAATTCTCACACATATAGACTAAAAAACACGCAACAAACTCATAAGGAGTTGATGCACTTATTATAACTAAAAACACTGAAACAAAACAAGGATATAAAAGCTGACCTACCACCACGTCATCACCAAGACTGCCAAGCATCCACCAAACTCAACCAAGACAGAGGCATTATAGGGAATGAGTGAGGATTAGAAATGGAGAGGGGATGGGAATGTTTGTGAAGGTAAGGAGGATAGGGAATGGGAGGAGGAGAAGGAACTAGGCCTCCGATCCCCAATGAGGATGACAATTGAAATATTTCTCTTTAGGACTTTGTCGGTGTGAACCTGTAATCATAGATTAACTAATGCTTTTTTGTTGTCAATGCAAGAGATATTTGGTGAGAGGGAATTCAATCATAGGACCTTGGTGGAGGGATAAATGCTCTTAACCTTAATCTACAAGCCCCTTGTGATAATTAACTCCTTAGTTTAACTGTCATTTAAAACGGTTCAATTTTGTTCCTAAAACAAGTGTTCAATTTTACACGTTTTGAAATATTAATTGCTTATATCATAACAACTCAAGATCATCTTTTATAAGCAGTCACAAACAAAAAATCATGAAAGAAGATAATTAGATCTTATTGATGTCGTGAGATATGGCGATGCAAACAACTTCAAATGTCCACAATAAAAAAGTTCATCAAAATAAAGTTTTGAATTTGAATTTTGCAAAGGAAAAAATCAATAATAGAAAGTGCCTGGCATGCTTAAAATTCACGATTTCTATAATGAATAATGAATAATATTACAAATTCAAGTGAATTATGACTGTTGATGCATTGCGAGTCTCAAATATATTAATAATCAGGACATGCCGAATACGCATGCGTGGCAATATCTCTTTCCATAATCAAAGCTGGACCAGGAGAATACTATTAGTGGCTGGGTTGTACGGATCCGGGCCAGAAAGGCCATACTGAGGAATAGAGATCCAGAATCTAAGAAATGGAGCAAAAAGCCCAAATGGCGAGCCTATAAAATGAAGAGCGTATGCCCAAACTTGCGCTTGCGCCTAGCCCTTTGTTAGTCACACAGCTCTGTTATGTTCTCTAACATTTACGTTTTCTTTTAGATTTTCAATTTAGGTTTTTCTCTCTGTAATTTGCATTAGATTTGATTCAGTCAGAGCCATTGTAGAGGGTTAGGAGGTGTGGATTCATTTCAATTTCTTTACTGTATCGTTTCCCACCTGTGTCAAAATACCGCCATTTTCTCGCTCCAAAATCAACATCTTTGTGTACAATAATCCTAAATTAACACCCAGAGACTTGTCTCAAGGCAATTTTATCCTTGACTGCTTGTTTGATTACGCTTCAATTTGTATAGAGAAATAGAAACCTGTTAAGGGTTAGGGTTCTTTTTGCTTTGAATTTTTGAGATACAGATCAAGAAAAAATAAAAAAAATAAAAAAGTTTATTTTTGGGATTAGCTTGTAAGTGATGGATAAGAAGAAGGTGGCCGTTCCGCTGGTTTGCCACGGTCATTCCCGTCCGGTTGTGGATCTGTTTTACAGTCCAATCACTCCCGATGGTTTCTTTCTCATCAGTGCCAGTAAGGGTACGTATCGATATTGAATGCTTTCTTGTATGCGTTTGGATTTGTGTCAATCCTTACTTTATAATTTGATGTATATATTTATGTATATGTATGAATGAGTTGATGGGTTTATAGCATTGGGTTCTTATTTTTTATATAACTTTGGATGAAAATTGCATTTGTTGTCTTTGTATTTCCCTGGAAGTAGTATATTGACTGTTATCTGTGACCTTTTTACTTTATAGGGTTAATAGTAATGGTTGTGGAAATCTGGTGAAACCTGTTGTTAGGATGTTGGGCACAGCGGAAACAAATATGTCCTCCTTGAGATTCTGACATGCTAACACTCATAAACGCTCTTAAATATTGATATGTTCATATATCTGAAGTTTTACTTTTTTCCTTTAGATTCTAGTCCCATGCTGAGAAATGGAGAGACTGGAGATTGGATTGGAACATTTGAAGGACATAAGGGTGCAGTATGGAGTTGCTGCTTGGATACTAATGCCCTACGTGCTGCAACTGCTTCTGCAGACTTCTCTGCGTATGGCTTTATCTTTTATATTTCTGTATTGTTTTCATTCCTAGGTCGATGCTTAGTTGCTTTTCTTGTTTCTTTTCGTAAGTCCTATATACTGTTTTGGTTAGAGTTAAGTGGGTTTTAGCAGGGAACTTGGCTTTGCAATCTATATTGAGTTAATATTACCCGAAAAGTCCTCCTCCCGTTCTTAGAAGTTGTAGTTAATTTAATCGAAAGTTGATGTATTACGTGCATGAAATCCATATGCAGGAAAGTTTGGGATGCATTAACAGGAGATGTGCTACACTCATTTGAACACAAGCACATTGTTCGAGCCTGTGCTTTCTCAGAGGTGGGTTCTTCTATAATCTTCATCGAACTAGAGTTCTATTTAAGTGCAATGAGCATACAAAAGATGCTAATTTCCATTTCAAAGATCTTATATGTTATGTTGGTTTCTTGCTTCAAGCTAAATGTGATATGTGATGTTTATATTTCACTGTATTCTAAATCATATCCACTTGAAGTAGCTATCTGCTTAACTCTTGAGTTTGAAATGTTTTCTTATTGTGGTTGGTGTTATCCTGGGGTAAGAGGGGACTTCTAATATAAACTTTTGGATATTTCACTTACCAAGCTCAGTTGTAACTTGTAAGGTATCAACATTTTAAGTTTTTTTAAAGGTATTTGGCCTCCAAACTAGTTACTCTTGGTTCAAATTTCAAAAGTTTCTGAGATGTCATGCTGGAATCATTCAGTGCTTGTGAAAACTGGTTAATTGGTGCTGAAACATTTGATTATGGTGTGCCCCTTTTTTTATTACGTACTTTTGTAATCTCATTTGATTTTTATTAATATGGTAGCAGGATACACACCTTTTGCTTACTGGAGGAGTAGAGAAAGTTATCCGTATATATGATTTGAATCGTCCAGATGCCGCTCCAAGAGAAGTGGATAAATCCCCTGGTTCAGTCAGAACTGCTGCATGGCTACACAGTGATCAGACCATACTAAGTTCTTGCACTGATATGGGAGGTGTCAGGTATGCACGTCTTTGAAACCATCTGATGTTAAAGCTACTCTTTGATTTTTGTTTTAATCTCTTATGGTGCACACATATATTTATTTAAGAGTAATGTTTTTCTTATTCTGTACTAAACTTGGTAGTGGCTGGTGAATGTACAGATTATGGGATGTAAGAACTGGTAAAATAGTCCAAACACTTGAGACCAAATCATCTGTGACCAGTTCCGAAGTGAGTCAAGACGGTCGTTATATCACTACTGCTGATGGGTCTACTGTGAAGTTTTGGGATGCAAACTAGTAAGTTATGAGTTTGATTGTTCTGTATTTTTGCAGAGTTTCTGCTCCAGTCTTATGATATTTTACTTGATTCCAGCTTTGGGTTGGTGAAGAGCTACAACATGCCGTGCACAGTAGAGTCAGCTTCACTGGAACCAAAGTTTGGGAACAAGTTCATTGCTGGGGGAGAAGATATGTGGGTTCATGTATTTGATTTCCATACTGGTGATGAGATTGGTATGTGCTCCAAAACAATAATCCTTTTAAGTGAATTTTATTGGGGGAATTTGACATGTTATCGGGCAATGTCAACTAAACAAAACATTTCTTAAAGCTTGCTTAAACCCCGGTAAAGGCAGGATTTAATTGTAATAGACTACTAGTTAGGCAATATGGCTGCTTTTAGTCATAGTCCATGTAGGTTAAATTTCTACGTTCTTGTATCTTATGTGGGGTTTCTAACTCCAAATTCTCAATTAATCCAATTGTATCTGGATGCAGCATGCAACAAGGGTCACCATGGTCCTGTTCACTGTTTGCGTTTCTCGCCAGGAGGAGAATCATATGCCTCAGGATCCGAAGATGGTACCATTAGAATATGGCAGACTGGCCCCTTGACTCAAGACGAAACCGAGGCACTGGCAGCAAATGGAAAGGTGAAGGTACCTGCAGAAGAGGTTTCTCGAAAGATCGAGGGCTTCCACATTGCAGACGAGGGGAAATTGAAAGAGAAGGAAGAGGCAGGGAATGAGTGACTGGCTGGTCCAGAGCATAATAGCCATGCCTGTCATCATAGTTCAGAGCTATCCTAGTTTGATTACTTCATTATATAGACAGACTAAACAAGAATTTTTGTACAACTTTTTAGTTCACTGTTTCGTTGCTGCTGAGATATCGACTGGAGAAATGATTTGTTTTCTGGATATTCAGATTACCTATAAAGTCGAGTGCTGCGCCCCTTTTTCTATTAAAGACATCTATTTTGTATACGACAAGCCTGGAATTTTGTATTTTCTTCTTCCCTGCTTCATTTTCAACATCTTCTGATTTTCGCATTTTACTCACTCTTGTGGATTTCTAAAATTGCTTTTGTACTTGAAGAAACTTGAGAAAAATAAAAATATCAAAAGTTGGGAAATGACTGGTTTGGTCATGTTCTGAGATAAATGTTACATTTTGATATTGAAAAACTGATACATTTTTGTGTTGGAAAAGATTTCGAAGACATTAATGAAAATTTATCGTAAATTGGAAAGGCCAATGTATATAAACAAAAAGAAAAAAAACAACTAGGGGTACCAGTATCGTAAATTGAAAAAAGTAAGAGGGTTATTTTAGTCAAAGAGGGCTTGAATAAGTAGGCGTCCAAACTCTGGCCGACCATTTGCGAATCGCGAACCTCTCCTTGGCTGTGTAACTGTGTTGGTGTTGCGAGAGACCAGAGAAGAGAGTGCTCTAAGACTAAGAGCGCACCATCTTTGATTCTCTTTCCAATTAAATCATATATATATATGTTATCTGATTAATATCTCCCCCATAAGTAAAACCCTACCAAAAATCCTTTTGCTTTTTCGCGGGAAAATATGTCGGGGAAGGGCGCGAAGGGTCTGATAATGGGCAAGAGTGCCAGCAACAGCAACAAAGACAAGGACAAGAAGAAACCCATCTCTCGTTCATCTCGTGCTGGGCTTCAGGTTTTCACTTCTTTCTCGTTTTCAATTTCTTCTTTTCGTTTTTGGGTTCTAAAACTATCTGAGTTTTGCTTCTTGAGGATGAGTTTTTCGGTTAAATCTATGAAACATTCAATAAATAAAGAACAAAGAAGATAGCTTTCTATTTGGAGCTGGGACAATATTAGCCGTGGGGTTTGCTTCTTTTGGTGATAAAAACAAGATAAAGTCCCGAATGCTACTCACTAAAACTGTTGGGCCTAACTTGACTGTGCTTTTCATATCTTGGGAACAAAATTGATGTAGTGATGACTGGTGTTACATCTCAGTTGTCCGAGCAACCAAAGGAGGTGAATTTTTTTTGTTTTTCAATGATGGGGAAAAACAATGGTTTTAAAAATATCTTTGGTGGTTTTCCATTTAAGATTGTTTTGGGGAGAAATATGTTTCAATAAGATGGGAGTGTCAGAATCTAGAATGCACAGTTTGCCCTTCATGGTTTAGTTGTTACCTGGTTGGCTTGGAGAATGTGTCTGAGAACTTGTTCTTTTGAGACCTTATGCCTTCCCACAGATGACAATACAAACAACTAGCTTAGCTTAATCACTACATTAATTGGTATTTAATAGAAATATTCGTGCTCTTGGATTAAGTTATACAATATATTAGAATATAAAAATAGTTTTAACTCACTTTCAAACATCTTAATTTGTAGGAATAGTGGTAAATTCAACAAAACTGATGGTGGTATTAGAGTGGGGAGATTCTGAGTTTATATACCAGCAACTGCGACCTGTCAATCTATGTTGAATTCCATATGTTGGGCTCTCTAGTAGTGAAGAAAGCTCCACGCGTGAGGGGTCTTGAAATATAAAACCAAATAGTTGGCCCACACCTTGACAATTCTAACTTTTAAGGAAAACATAACCGAAAATAACTTATTATAGACACGTTTTAAGATATTGCATATGAATATATAATTTCTTTCGTGATGCTTTGGAGTCTCTCTTTCTCTCTCAGTTGTCCATAAGTTTGTATCCTAGGTTTCTTTGATAGTAAAAGTAATAGTTGGCCTTGGTGAATAAATGTTCAGAATTATGTTCTTTGGAGTTTTTTTCTGGGTGGTGAGCAGGGATGTGACCTTGTTTCTAGTGAATAGTTTGTTTGAATTTACCACATATGATGCTGGCACCCGTCTGTTTTTTCCCAGTGGTTTATTTGGATTGTAAACCTGTTCTGAATTCTATGTCTTTGTTCTTTATGTTTTATCCCCTCATTCCCATTGTCTAGAATAATAGTAGTTGCTGGTGATGGTCTCAATTTTTTTTTATTGAATCTCTAAAACTAGAGACTGTGAAGTTTGTTGCTGGATATTCATCCATTTACTAACGTATTATGTATTTCTAGTTCCCGGTGGGTCGGATCCACCGCCTCTTGAAGCAAAGGACCACTGCTAATGGGAGAGTGGGGGCGACTGCTGCGGTTTATTCTGCAGCTATCTTGGAGTATCTGACTGCTGAGGTGTTAGAGTTGGCAGGCAATGCGAGCAAGGATCTGAAGGTGAAACGTATCACTCCCAGGCATTTGCAGCTTGCTATTCGTGGTGACGAAGAACTTGATACCCTGATCAAAGGAACCATTGCTGGTGGAGGTGTGATCCCTCACATTCACAAGTCACTTATCAACAAGTCGACCAAGGAATAGTTAACAGATGGACTATAGCTGCAGATTAGTGCCAAATTTCTTCAAGGAACAGAGTCGCCCAGTGACTTTAATTACATGCTTAGTTTGCTGTTTCCGCGGCTTAATCTTCTTCATTCTGTATGTCATTATCTGACATTTTTTATTTAATCGTAGGCTTACTTTTAGGAATCTTGTCATCAAGCGGTATTGCCATCCCTGTATCAAAGACATGTTTGGACAACCCATTGTTATTTTTCCTTTATAGAAAGATGTACCAAACTATGATCTGCATGAATGCAGTTGATGATGGAGTCCGATTTGCCCTTTAAAACTTCAGATTGTGCACTTTTTATATGCTATAAGAAGGTGAAAGTGGAACCTCTCTGCTTTCATTGGGGATGTCTAGAAACACTTGTAGGTAACAAACTGGATCTCTATCCAAAATTTTATGGGATATTATCTGCACTTGTTGACCAACAATGAAGTTTTGAAAATGTCTTCCAGGCAGATAGAGATCACAAAGATGATCACAAGGATTGTTTTGGCCCCCACAAAATTCCAGTAAAGAAGTCCTCTGGGTGGTAATTTTCAACTATTCTATGCATGGTGATAATTTTGTAACAAACCTCGCACCAATTCACGTACAAGATTTATAGCAGTAAGAGCAAAAGCAAATATCTCAAGTAGATTAAATTAGTTCCAACATCCAAGTAGATTTACAACATACAGGTCCTAATTCGAAATGTTCGAATTTAATGTCCTAAAAACACCAATAAATAAATGTCCTCGGACAATCCCTACCACTGCACCCCCTTTGTAAATAAGTGAATTTGGCTGCTCTCCACCCTACTAAACCACCAAAGACCTGTCCTAAAAGAAACAATCAAATTCCTAGAACCTCAGACATGGCAAAACAAGAAAACCAATTCTAAGACCTCAATCAGAAAGAAAGCTAGCAAAAGCCACCAAAATGCGGTGGCATAAGAATGGGGAAGACCATATTAAATTTAGAAGGTTGACACCTTTGGAACATCTACGGGGAACCGATCAATTTCATCCATCCATGGGTTCTTTTCCTTTGCTGGATTTATGCTCTTAAGAGCCTTCCACACAGCACTGTTACACTTGAATCCCGAGCCAAAAGCTATCTGCCATGTTCTATCTCCTTTCTTCATCCTTCCCTTGGCTTCTGTATAAGCTAACTCATACCAGAGAGAACTGCTCGATGTGTTTCCAAATCGATGGAGTGTCATCCTTGATGGCTCCATATGCCAATCAGATAGATGCAGGTTCTTCTCCAATTCATCCAATACGGCTCTTCCTCCAGCATGAATACAGAAATGCTCAAAAGCTAGTCTGAAATCTGGGATGTAAGGTTTGATCTTCCTTTTGAAAAGTTTCCTCCCAACCAATGTAGCAAAGAAAAGCAGCTGTTCAGACATTGGCAGAACAAGAGGCCCCAATGTGGTGATGTTGGTCTTTAAAGCATCACCTGCTACTGCCATCAGATCCTTTGACAAAGTAACACCAATCTTTCCATTGGAGTCTTCTTCTTGGGTAACACAGCTAAAGCACTTATCATCAGCACCCTTGTGGGTACGAACAGTGTGAACTAACCGATATTTGGACCGTCTTCTGTCTGAGCTTTTGTTTGAAAGCAATATAGCAGCCCCTCCCATCCGAAATAAGCAGTTTGAGACAAGCTTTGAGCGATCATTTCCAAAGTACCAGTTCAATGTGATGTTCTCCATGCTGATAACCAGTGCATAAGAGTTAGGATGCACCTGAAGAAGATTTTTAGCAAGATCAATTGAAATCAGACCTGCACTGCAGCCCATCCCACCAAGATTATAGCTGACTATGTTCCCTCGAAGCTGGTAATGGTTGATAACCATGGCAGAAAGAGATGGGGTGGGATTGAACAAGCTGCAGTTCACAATCAAGATTCCAATGTCCTTAGGTTTTACAGCTGTCTTAGCAAAAAGCTCATCCATGGCACCAAACATCACAGCCTCAGCTTCTTTTCTAGCTTCTTTCATTGACGGATTTGGAGGAATGTTGAGTACAGCCTCTGGAAGGTAAGTTGAATCCCCAAGGCCAGATCTCTCAAGAATCCTTCGCTGGAACTGAAGATTCTCCTCTGTGAATGTACCAGTCATTTGAGACTGATCCATAAAAATCTTTTTCGTGCATTTTCGAGATTCTTCTGGCTTGTAGCAGGAAAAGTTAACAAGGTACACCGGGCGAGGGCGGGTGAGAAAGTAGACAGTGGATAGGAAAACAAGGAGAGTCGAGCAGATAATCACCGAAATTAGGTTGTATTGGAGATGCTCCCAAAGATCATACAGATCTTGGAGAGAAAATGTTGAGATCTGGGCAGCGATAACAACAAGAAGTGGGGAAAGAAAGAGGTACATTCCATGGGTAATGAGAATATGGTAACCAAGCTTCACATATTTTAGTTTAACTGAATTTTTGAAGTCGGGAAGGTTTCGCGATGATGATGATGATGATGATGATGATGAAGATGGTGGGATCAAGGGTGTGTCTGGTTTCGGCTCTGTCATTTTTCCCTGATAGATATACAACCGTATGGATGAGATCAAATGCACGACAAGATCATAACAACAGTTAATTAATAGTTGATTCTAAGCGCACAAGAGGAACTGCCAAAAGAACAAACAAACAAAAAAAAGGCAAAACGAGGTTCTTAAGCATATAGGCAATTTGCATAGAATTTCAATTGCAATTGGGCCAGAAATCCCTTCCCAAGAAATACATAATTTCTACAATTTTTAGATGTCAACATAGATTTTTTCAAAGAGAGGGTTCTGCTGGATTTACCTCTACAGATCACTGAGATGATGGAAAAGTGAAAGCAAAATAAACTTACGGCACCTAAATCCAAGGACCGAGTATATAAATTAAAAGGATAGTGAGAAAAAAATAAAGCCCCTCTTTTTCAGACTTTTATCCCAGCAAAGTAATCCCAGAACATAATTTACCACAAAAAGAAAATATTCTTCAAAAAAATTACTAGAGCTAATGGAAGATAACGATAATCGGACGAAACCCAGATGCAGATGGACATCAGGGATTGAACTTTTCAGAGATTCCAACAAAATTTCACAGCAAAAAGCATGCATAAAACGATCACAGACCAAATATTCATGCATAAGAAAGCCGCGAGTCCCATAATGCGGCAAAACCCAGAACAAAAAACTCACCTTTAATCGTCAGATCCCACCACCAGATCTCAGAATGTCGCTACAGAAGCCAAAGAGAAAGGGAGAACAAGAGAGAGAGAAATGTATAGACAGAGAGGGAGGGGAGAGAAAAGAAGAGAGAGAGAGAGAGAGAGAGAGAGAGAGAGAGAAAATTGCAAACGGTAAATTTGAAATGAAAATTGCAAATTAAACTAAAATTAGGATAATGAGTGCGTGACGAGAGGTTGAGGTTGGTATTATATATATTTAATTTAGTTTAAATAGGAGCTGAGGACGAGAAGGCGAGGGGAAGCCATGAAAGCAGCGAAGAGTACGCGTTCGGCGTTTACAAAGCGGCGCTAGCTGCCTCTTTGACTTTTCAGACCTTCTTATCATGTTTTTTTTTTTCTTCTTCTTCTTATCAAGTTTTACTCCACTGGATTTTTTAAATTTTTTTTTTTTTCTTCTTCTTCTTATCAAGTTTTACTCCACTGGATTTTTTAAATTTTTTTTTTTTCTCCCATTAAGAAATTTCCGTAATTTGTCGTATGTGTGCTGGAAAAGTCCTTTTTTCCGAATTTTCATTTTGCATTTTGTAATTTGTAATTTAATTTGCTTTTGGTTAATAATAAATCCGGACAAGACAAAGCAGCTTCTGTTGATAAATTTGATAGACTTTTAATTAGTCAAAATTCTCAGTATATGTCATCAACTAAAAGTCGACAACCTGAACCAAATTTTATTGTGATATATTTGTGAATATGAATAATTAATTAGATTTAATCTTCCTTTTTTTTCTTTCCCAAGATTTAATCTCCCTTGAATTGAATGGTTATGTGTAGCTTATTCGATATTGAATTTAACCATGAAAATATGGTATTGTAGAAACTTGAGCATAAAATTTCAAGTGTCATAAGATTTTGATAAGAAAATGGCGGCATTAATTATTTTTTTTGGTCGAAAAAAATGGCGGCACTATGATCGGAGTAAAGATGCTCTAAAACTGTTCTTAATTAGATCACAAATCCCTCATTAGAGATCACAACTAAGCCTCTGTATTTTTAAAATACATTAAAATTGAGAGGCACATTGCACCGGCAGACTGCAGTCATGAGGCGTAATGTACAAAGCCTGAGTGAGTAAATGATATTAAATTTGGTTCGAGTATATGTTAGCTACATGATGTAATTTATGTATATGGGACGGTTCATAATTGACTATGATTTTGAGGGACCATTTCCATGAGCTTGATGAGTTGTTCACATGGATACAACTCTGTCTTGTCTCTTTGTCTTCTCAGTCTCTTTCTCGAATATATGTTGTCTGTCTGTCAGTGTTAGGGGTCCACGTGCCAAGCTGTTCTTCCATTCCATCCATGAGCAAAGCTACTCAGCGAGCAGGGCGTTGCATTGCATTGATTGAACTTCAATAATAATCACCTTGTTTCATAATCAATACATGAGTTTAACAGAGACAGTATTGTTTGAACATTGAAAGTTCTTTGATGATTAAAAGCTTTCAGAAACTGTTTGATGATTATAAAGTACGAAGCATCCGTTGTCAGCGGAGGCAAATAGTTGAAAAGGAAATGCGACCAACTTTGTTGGCTTGGGTTGGCATTTGGCAAACTTGCACATGCGCACGACCGTAGGCATTAAGCATAAAGCACAGAGACAGAGGTGCTTATGCCTTTTTTTTTAAACTGGCAAGACAATGTCAATGGTTGAGGACAGAATGAAACCACCAGGACAGGATGTGAGTTTTATTCTGCATTGGGAACTTCTGAAAACGACCAAATTCGATCGGGCACCACAATTGTTTCAAGAATTTGTCTCAACATTTGACATTTGAAAGCAGCAGATAGTAAATCTGATTTCACAACTCCAAGGAACACTTTACAACAATCAACAATGTGTATATGGGAAGAGAAAAAACTCTTACCGTAAGTAGTGGAGAAAAATGATCAACAGGGAGAGTTAGAACGAAGAACGGCCATGTTCAACATGCTAGTCCAATGTAAACTCCTCCAGCCATATCAGTACTTCATTCCTCTACAATGCAATCAACCCCAAAACAAATTCAAAGTTCAATAGTTAGCGCGCAAAATGAAAACGCAACCAGCAAGTACTGAAGGCAGCAGACACCAGTGTTCTTAGTTGTGCTTCCTACAGCAAAATTTCAAGGGGTAGATATCCTTTTTACCAAAGTTATATTATGCCTATTCTCACACAAGTTATTTATCACTTATGTCCAACTGGTTGAAGTCAGGTCTCAAGGAAAACAGATATCTAAGAATTATGAACTTTGAGGTTACAACAACCATACCATTACAAAGCTCTTAGTTCGGCCTGGATCATTGTAACGAGCAAGCAAGCAACCATTCTTAGGTTTGAGACCATCTCTAATAAGACTAGAGCGCAACACTTTCTCCTTCTCACGAACTATCTCTTCAGTAGGCTTTCCACTGAACTTCAGAACTGCAGCAGTGCCTCCTTCCACCTTTTTTAACCTAATCGTTTCTTGATTGGGATCTGGTAAACTGGTCACAGGTATTTTCTTATTACTAACTGCATCACATATGAATAAATGCGGATTGACATATCATATCTATTAATTTCCCTCTTTTAAGATTTTAGAGCTAAATCAAAAAAATGAACCTCACCTGCTTATATCCTTCTCCAGTGGAAGACATATTTTGATGGATACTTTGGAAAATTCAGCATCAGATGCCTCAGTGAAGACAGGGGTAGTCATTGGTATCTTCTCCATTTTGGAGTTCTTTCCAAAGATGTACCTAAACAGAATCCATTATGCTTATCATCCAAGAGAAGAAAGGGAAGAATAACATATGATTGGCTAGGGAAAGCACTCACCCAGTAACATCATTGAAACCGGCCGACCCAGACAGCTTGTCCACAGATCCTTCTACCACTATAAAAGGGGAGTACTTTCTCACCTGTAGAATCAGGACATGGTAATAAAGTCTATAAGCCTTAAGTTTTGATGAACACAACATTCATTGAAAGGCATACACACCTCGTAATTCACCGTTCGTTTTAATATCTCATATTTGGGTGTTTCCAAGTCTGGAGTTTTGTAAAACCGCAGCTGCAGAGTTTTACATACAATACAAGAAGGGACTTAGAATCTCTGTACATGATTCTGATCATATAATGGCAACTTGGCAAGTGAATAATGGACCAGTACCTGCTTGAAAACATCCAACAAACCTTCTACTGAAAAATAGTCATTCGTCTTTATTGAATCCCAGAAGTCCTACACATCAAAGGATAGTGAATTACTAAAACATGTCATAAACAATGCATTCTATTGGCTTGTTATAAAAGACACGTTAGTCTTACCACATGGCTGCAGAACTTCCCGGTCTCCGGGTTGATGCCCATAACTGAGGTTCCTGTGAAGACCAATTCTGGTTTCCAAGGCAGAGGGATGAACTTCATAACCATAGTCCACCTTGTGGTGATTTCGTATGGTCCTGTCTATAGAAACTTAGTCAGTAAAACAGGCATAACCCATATGCCATTATATACAGCATTCTTCAAGTGAATACCAACATGAATGCTTCATTGCAAACTTCAAATTAGGAGCTTTGAGATATCAATGAGCTCTCAAATCCTGATATACTGATACAATATCAGAAGAACTCACATCCAAGTTTAGCTGGTTTACATAAAGTCCATTTCAATGACGGGAAGTGTAGTTACAGATGCAGTAAGTTACTTTGATGTCAGAATTTCAAATCCCCATTCACCAGAACTCAGGTTCCATACAATAATATCAACAGAACACAATCCTCAACTCAAACCAATATGAAATCATCAAGAACATCACAGCTTCTAGAATATGTTGCACAAATGTCAAAATTATCGTTGAATTATGTATCTTTATCTCGCCACATCATCCAATCATTTCATTATTTTAAAGTAACTGAAATAAGAAAAACAGAGAAAGCAAACATGTTACCTGTTTGACCCAGTGCAACTGGAACCTAGGCGTGAACACAATCTTCAAGAAGGAGATGTTCAACAAGTACCCAGTTATCGTGTCATGCTTGGTAATTGGGTCCCTGAACTTCACACGCTCATCATAAGCCGTCCGATCAATACCCTGATCATCAAAGAGATGGACAAGATCCTCGTACAAAAAATCCACTAACCGATCCACGTCAACCGTTGGTTTAGATTTTGGCGGGCTTTGGTCCAGTAAGCTTAGCCTGACAGCCCACTTGGAGTTTTGGTCTGTTTGAAGAGACAAGTGTCTGTGTTTCAAAGCTTTGGGACGTGGGCAGGGCAGTAGCTTAGCGGTGCTCAGCCGCCGGAAACTGACACAGGCGGCAGGAATTAATGGCCTGAAAATTTGGTGTGTGCTGTTCATTTTGTGGGGCTGAAGGCTAAGGTTGTGGTGTTTGTGTTAGTTTGGTGCATTGCTTTGGGTTTTGGCGTACGAAAATCTTAGCCAAAAGTTTGATTGGTTGGTGTTCAATTTTGAGAAAAAGTGTCATCAACCCCACCATTTTCAGAATCTCATCTCAGCTGGATCAGTCAGTCAGAATCTCATCTCAGCTGATATTTAGTCACACTCACAGGGCCCATCTGAAATTAGTGGCTGCAATGCCCTTTATGTGGCAATACATGGACGGTAGAAAATTCCATTTCTGTATAAAAGCCATGTCAATATGGTTCCTTTTTGGTCATCTTTGCTAATTAGTGCATACAAAATCTGTATGTTAAGTGCGTATATATATATATATATATAGCTGGACCACATTAGTGCTGTATTAGTGGCACATTTCACATGCATGCAGTGGGCTAGCACACCCTTGAAGCACAAGTCCACACTCTCAACACGCGACTAACTTGTGGCAAAACGAGCCCAGCAAACTTCTCCACTCTATATATACATGGCAAACCCTCAAACATTCTTATTCAAATCCAATCAAAACCTTCCCGTTTTCCCAAACTCCAATTGTTTTCTATTCTTCTTTCTTTTTCCCCTTTCCAACTTGTTGGAAATGTTTCCCCTTTCCAAGTTGATCATCAGTGCCTCATGGTGCGAGGTGCATGGCGATGGAGTCAACGACTTCAACGGTGATGATATATTTGCCCTGGCAGCATGTAGAGAAGGCGACGGCGATGACGATGATTCAGACTATGACTATGCTCCAGCAGCAGCAGCAGCCATGGAAGGGGATGACGATGACGATGATGATGGTGGTTATGATTATGCTCCAGCTGCATGACTGACTAGTAATTGCATACATTCTTGATAGAGTGGTAATATTTAGCTTTGATAAATTAAGGAATGTACTATTAATTGCTAGGATTGTTCGATCCCTTGGAAGAATTTTGTTAAGGAATTTCGAGTTAATAATCAACGTGTACCTCCTTTGATTTAATGAAGTCATATGCGACCAATTATTATTTGTGTGGTTTCTAAGAGCATCCACAATGGTAAGGTGTATATGGAGGTATATGTTAAATATACACATTTGATAGCCGGAATGTCCTGCAATCGGGAGATGTATACGACTATAAATGTACATCACAACCGTGGGCGGGATGGGAAAACAAATGCAAATGTACATTTAATTTTACACCCAACCAAGTGGGTCCCGTAATAGAAAAGCTAAGAGAGAGAGGATATAGGAAAGCTGCCTAAAAATTATTAAAATGGTAGCCCCAGGGCATGGCTGAGATTTATTAAAATGGGAAATTATTAAAATGATGCAAATGTACAAAGTTCTTTAACAATAACTCTCTAATATATGGCCATATTTCATTCAAAATGAAATATGAAACTAACAATTACACTGATCAATGGTGAAGAATAAATTCATATCAAAGCCAACGGTTCATATTAATTTTATTTACATCATATTGAATGAAATTATATCTTATCGAAATTTTAAAAATTTTACGTCGATTTGTTTAGAAAAAATAATTAAACCTAACACACACAAAATTAACATAGAAATATTAACATAAAAAAAAATTTTAACACAAAAAAAGAATTAATACAAGAAAATCGGATTTACATCTTTGAATTTGCATCCAACTCATTTGAGCAAAAATGATATTTGCATCTCCCAGAGGTGTAAAGGAGATGTACAAGTGGCTTTACACCTCCGAATTTACACCTCCCCACTGTGGATGCTCTAATGATGGCAATTATAGATATGGCTATTATTAAAATAAGCTAAAATGTATCAATGGTTCCTGAATTATACCTCGACTTACATTTTCGTCCATGAACTTCAAAAATAGTTATGGTCGTCCTCTAACTATGCCTCCACTTTCTACAAGTGGAAAGACAATTATAGCCCTAAATTTGATGGAAAAGTTGATAGAGTTGATGGAAAGAACGAGTTATATGCAAGTCGAGGAATAGTTGGAGGACGACTTTATCGTCAATTTCTCATATATAAGCAAAATGTAGGGTGATTAATAAGCAAAACGTGTAGTTAATTAACGTGGAAACACAAAGAACAAAAGAAAAAAGAAAAAGAAAAGTGGGTATCTATAGCAATTAGTAGCAACTGGATTGGATTCCGATTTGAGTGGAGTACACATTAATTTGCTTACTTCAATGGTATGATAAGCACTAAATTCATGAGAAAAAACGTCTGGGTTATTGTTAATAAATCCTTCGTATTTTGAGTTGATATTTAATTTTCTAAAAAGAGGGACGGGGGAAGGTATATGCCATATGATGTTCCAAGCTGTGCATACTCCATCAGAGATTTAATCGGTTTTTAAAAATATATTTTGACTTCCAGGTCACACAATAAATAAATAAATCATTCAAATATCATTTTAGGCTCCAAGTGGAAGGCAAGGCATACACATTACAAAACTATAAATTGGCATGAAGCTTCTCTGTATTGATCTGAAATGAAACGCATGCATGCATGGTTCCGATCTACACATTACGCCAGCGCGCTCTCTCCAAACTTCTATATATACATGCTTCCAAGTTTGCTACTCTTCACACTCGTTCTTATTCTTCTTCATCAACTAAATTTTAGTAGCCCATAACATTTTCTTTGCTACTTCAAAATTAGTCAGTGCATCAAAATTACTACTTCATGGCTGGCTCCCATTATCAAGCTCATCGGCCTCTCATGCTACTCCAACCATATGCATGGTGATCGATGGAGATGGCATTTATGGCCCTGCTGTATGCTACAAGATTCGTATTGGTACTTATGACGGCGATGATGACAACGATCCAAACTATGACTACCCTCCGGCAGCATGCACTGAATGGGACGGTGATGACGACGACGACTATCCTGACTATGATTTTGCACCAGCAGCATGACTCTGATGCTGATCATCGTGGTCCATGGCTGTTAGCCTATTATAATTACTATTTCAGAATAAAGCTTCCTGATCATAGCCATGATCAAATGACGTGGCTACAACCAGTGACTGCTGTTGTTTTTTAAATGTCAATGACACATGATTCGAGTATGCGAGGAAGCTCCGTCTATTTACTTGTTATATTTTAATTTTGATATTCGTTAGTTTGTGAAGCTGACGTTGATTTATTAATGAGATTGGTTTAATTACCCTAATTGTTGAACATGACAGTCTTAAATAAAAGTGAGACTTAATTAATGTTTAAATACCATTAATAAGCTCACCATGTGATGTTACTAACAGTGTCGGCCCTGGACAATTTTTTAATTTTTTAATTTTTTTTCTAAAGAGGTATATTATATTTATTATATTTTTTAAAAATATATTTTTTAAAAGTAACATGGGTGTCTCAACTCTTTTAAGTTCTAATTGATTGTAAATTTGGAAGTTATAAGTTTGTTGTTGTGGAGGGGGATTTCTCAAATTCCAAGTTATTTTGTTTTTTGTTTATTATTTAAAGTATTAAAATTTTATTGGATTTCTTTGTACTAATAGATTTGAATGTATCAAGCGTAGCCTCTTATTTTAGATTTGTATATATTGAAATTTGAATTTATATAATTTATTTGTCTTGAATGTTAAATTTTTTATAGTTAATTCTGATAAGTTAAATCTTGATTGAAAAATGAGAGTGAGTTTAGCACTTAAGTGAAAAAATATATTATATATATAGGGGCCTAATTTTTTACATTTGCCATAGGCCCTTGATTACTAATTCACGTGTCGACCCTGCCCTAATTTTCTTATATACTCATCTTATAACATGAATGAAATTAGTTTACAACATACCAAAGCGCATGGCAGTGTGCGATTCTTTCTTGTGGCATATATATACTACGCTATTGGACTGTTTTCACTCTCTCTCCCTTCCTAGGTCCTAGTAGTAGTATTACATATATGTCTCAATTTTCTAGAAGTCCACTTCCCTAAAAAAAGGAACATGCTTACAAGTCAAAACATCAAAGTCAACGTGATTTAGAAGGAAACGAAAAGCAAAAAAGTCAACACGCTTGAAAACCTCAGCAGGTGTGCATATTGCTCGGTACCTCTTTCTATTTTCTTTCTTCTTCTCACATATGTACCAGTTTCTTCCACGAGTCATATATCTTCTATGTATGCAAAACCCACATCGATGCATATTAATATTATGGCCATTGCCAACATGATTTAAATTGATAGACCTGTCTGTAAGCTAACTAAACGAAGCTTCGTAGCTGTTAGAGAAACTGATTGAGATTGTGTGTCGTGTTCTGACTTTTGCAAAAACGCGTTCGGTTATCATTCATGAAATTGTTTGCCTCTCAAAAGTAGTTTTACCTCGCTCTTATGCGTTTTGGGAACTCTATATGTTTCCTTCCTAGAGTCCCATTTAATCAACTTGTTGCTGAAAATGTTTCCCAGTATTTCATTGACATTGAAGCCAACTTCTTCCGCATCCAATTGGAGATGTTGACGATGGATCACATGATCATATTATATCATATATATATATATATATAAATGGCTGGTGGCCGTACGGTAAAGGGGTTCTCTTTATCAAGATTCTTTTAGAATAATTTTCGAGGAATAAAATTATATATATGTTATCTCACATGTGTATTTACAATATTGGTCGATAGCGACTGCTAGTGTGACATGATGCTAGTCCGGTACGATCATTTTTTATATGTTGACATGATGACATTATTCCACTACTCATTGAAATAACAAAATGAACTTATATTGACCTGAAAGAAATTAAGAAAGAAGAACTAAAATATCCTTCAGTCAATTAAATAAGAATATTATCTTTATTTTATATTTGTGGCGATTGTCCTTGAGCTAAATTAATTATGTTCCACAATCAGTGGCACAATATGTGTACATATCTTTGCTAGCTTTATGTAAATAAAATAAAGCATCGATTCGATCCATCTCTTTCAGTTTCCACCAATTATATATCTCGATCGCATTCATGTATACAAGAATGGCCCAACCCATTACCCAAACATGCACCCAAAGGGCCAAAGATCTTTTCCTTCATTTCTTTTTCTTTCAATTTTTTCTTCAAAACCTACACAGTTGTACCAACGTGTTTGCTGAATTGTCATCTGTGAATCCTAGGTGGCTGGATGACAGAGCACCACCTGTCATGGGGCAATGGTTCTTGCACAGCCTTCATGCATTATTCACACTCCCCACGTGAATGCCTTGCGCATGCATGAGTTTTACATACATATATATCAATTTCTGCACTTCCCTCCCGCCCTCCATCTATATATATATCACCTTATATTACCTTGCAGACTCAATCTCCTTCTAACTACTACTTATACCACCCCTTTGAAAGAAATTCTTCAAGAAACCCGAAATCCAGCCAGCATTCTTCTTATTCTTCTTTTTATTCCCGTACAAAAACAGAAAATGTGTCCCATTTCTAAGATCAATATTGCCTTGTGGTGCAAGAAGCATGCAGATGGAGAAGCTATAGATGACCCTAATTTTGGGGGTCTTGCCCCTTCTGCAATGACATGCTCAGAAGGGGACGATGACGACGATGATGATGGAGACTATGACTTTGCTCCGGCTGCATAAATAATCAATTACCTAGACTATACTACTTGTTTTCATCTTAATTAATTAGTACGTACCTTTTATATTATGTATAAGTATAAACAGTGACTTGATTGGCACCATATTTAGCTAGCTCCATTCCATGTCCCCAAGATGTCATTGGGACATGGGCTGGGGTCGTTACAATATTATCTTAAGTTTTTGTGAAAGGTTATTAAGAGCATACTTTGAACTTTTATCGTAATGATCGAAATCTTAGGTTTGGCTGTGCTGCAGTCATATGATAAGGGATGCAACATATAAATTGGGGTATAAAATTTTCAGAACATCTGCATTCACTCATCATAAACCAATTAAAACTAGGTTTTCTCTTTCCATTCCCTTCTCTTCTAAACCCAACAATTGCTTTATCAATCTGTGTAACACAATATTAATCTCTGTCACCAACAATAAACTCATGGACAATGCCATCAATCTCAATTGAACTGCTCCCACAGGCACCTTTCTAACTCCAAGATCTTTCATCTTCCTTCTCACCTTTGTTACATCTTCCCATCTGTCGGCAGAGGCGTACGTATTGGCTAGAAAGAAGCGTGTGAACACTAGAGCCGCTTGATTCAATATCCGCTAGCCTTTTAGCCACTCTTTCACCCATCTCAACATTGCCAGGGATTCTGCAAGCACTAAGCAAAGCACCATAAAGTGGAATCATAATCTTATTGTTTTCACTTGGAACCCGCTCTATCATCTCCTCTTCATCATCTAACAGTCCAGCTCGACCAAGGAGGTCGACCAGACAAGCATAGTGTTCTAACTTTGGCTCAATTTCATACATCTTTCTCATGGAGTTGAAGAACTTACGGCCCTCGTCAACCAACCCTCCACGACTGCAAGCACTTAGAACAGCAATGAGGGTAATGTCATCAGGGTTGATGCCAATCTGTATCATTTCTGAGAACAACTCGACTGCTTTGCTTGCCTTGCCATTCTTTGCAAGCCCACAAATGATTGAAGTCCAACAGGCTGCATCTTTTTCCCTTAATCCATTGAAAATCTCCAAGGATTTGTCTATGCACCCACATTTTGCATACATTTCAATAAGAGCAGTACCAACAACTGCATCAATCTTAATTCCGTTTTCATCTATGTACCTGTGAATCCATTTCCCTTGCTCTAATGCTCCCGACTGAGCACAGCCTGTGGGGAGAGTAACCGCTGTAAATTTATCTCCTTTAACTCTTCTAATTTGCATCTCTTGGAATAGAGCCACCGCCTCATCAAAACGGTTATATTGCACATACCCATTAATCATAGCGGTCCATAGAACAGCATCCTTAATTGAACTCCCATCAAAAACCTCTCTAGCCTCATCCAGCCTACCACAATTTACAGACCCAGACACCATACTAGTACAACAGATCACGTTTTTCGATGGTATCTCATCAAAAATTCGCTGGCCTTCATTCAAACAACCACACTTAGCATACATGTTCAACAATGCATTTCCGATTATAGTAGTCAATTTAAGCTCACTTTTAACATAGTCGTGAATTTGTTTACCAAGCTCCAAATTTTTCAATGCTGTGCAAGCCGAAAGGGTGCTTACCACCGTACGTAGCCTCATCAGGCTTCTTATTGCTCTCACATCGCATCCGCTGGAACATATCAAAAGCATCCTCAAACCCAATTTCTCTCAGGCATTTCGTCAAACAATTGCTTAAAATTCAGAACCATACCCAAGTCAGCATAATTCAAGTTTCCAAGAGATGGGTCCGTGCAAAAGGCCATGAGTTTGCTGAGGGTGAATCTGTCTTGGTGTAGACCAAGAAGAAACATCTGGGACTGGATCTGTTTGAGCTGGTTCATGGATTTGCAGCTTTGAAGGAATTGGATAAAGGAAAATATAGATTATCATTAATGATAATTAAATTACATCAGAGTATTTATACAAAAACTAAAAACTGACTTTGCTTACTGTACAAGATTCATGCTCTAACAATACTCCGACAGATCATATCAAAACTACAGCTGTCTAAACAGAGACTTAACATCAATATTCTAACTAACTTTGACTTGTTTGACTCCTTGTAGAGAGGTCTCTTTACACCCCCTCAAGCTGAATGGAGGGGTCTGAAGTGAAAGCTTGAGACCTGAGAAAAAGGAAACGTTGCTTGCTCAAAGACTTGGTGTGAATGTCAGCAATTTGGTCTTGACTACAAACATACTTCACAGTCAATTTTTGATTGAGAACCTGTTCTCTAATGTAGTGGAAATCTAGCTCAAAATGTTTCGTTCTAGAATGAAACACATGATTATTTGATAGCGCTATGGCAGATATATTATCACACCATAAGACTGGAAGAGAGGGAAGTTTGTAACCAATATCTGCAAATAACTTTGCAATCCAGGAAAGCTCAGCTGCTGTTAAAGAGAGTGATCTGTACTCAGCTTTAGTTGAGGATCTTGCCACGGATGATTGCTTCTTTGCACTCCAACTAATGAGAGTAGATCCTAGAAAGATGCAATAACCTCCGGTAGATCGTCGATCATAAGGGCAACCTGCCCAATCTGCATCAGAGTAGGCTTGCAGAGATAGAACATTAGTAGCTCGCTTTTGAATAAAAAGCCCATGGCTGATTGTGCCTTTAAGGTATCTCAGAATTCCTTTTTACTGCTTGCAGATGAAGGTCTCTTGGAGTATGCATAAACTGACACACCTGATTGACTGCATATGAGAGATCAAGCCTAGTCCAAGTAAGATACTGGAGAGCCCCCTCAATAGAGCGATATTCAGCAGGATTAGGCAATAGATCACCACTGTGATCCAATTTTGCAGAACCAACGGCCTTTGACTCCTGGTAGAGAGGTCTCTTTATTGGATGCATGATGCTTTGGTTAGTGTGGGGTTGTGACAGGAGGTTGGGAAGAGGAATGGCTTAGATAGAAAGTGGCGGGAAATGAACATGAAGGATTGACCGTTGTGTTGTTGGGTGAGCATATTCGGCTTTTTGTGCTTTTTGCAGTCTGAACTTTTGATTTTGCTTTGCTTGCTTTGGTTCTAATACTGGGCCTAATTTGATGTCTCAATCGCTTGCAATAATTTGGGCTTCAAAACGACCCAACAATTTGATTAGTGCACCGACCTTCAACCTCTTTTTTTTCTTTCTTAAATACAAGCAATAGGGTAAATTACTTTATAATATTAATTCAGATGTAATGAATCGGGTTTATTATTCTGACCAACCGACTTAACATACATTAGCTTTATATTCAGCAACTAATTTGATGTCTCAATCGCTTGCAATAATTTGGGCTTCAAAACGACCCAACAATTTGATTAGTGCACCGACCTTCAACCTTTTTTTTTTCCTTCTTAAATACAAGCAATAGGGTAAATTACTTTATAACATTAATTCAGATGTAATGAATCGGGTTTATTATTCTGACCAACCGACTTAACATACATTAACTTTATATTCAGCGAGGCATGTGTGAATATTATTTGACAACAAGTTTTGTCTTTATTTTTCTTTACCTTTTCTGTTGTTAATATTATTATTATATGGGTCATGCTATGGAAACCAACTTGGGATACCAACTCTCTAATAAAGGTGGAGCCCATCAATACAATTGGTCACACGCTCTATTAAAAAGTTGGTACACAAGTTGTTCTCCCTAGCATTTTCCTTATTATATTCACACTTACATGATCATTAATTGGGGAAATCTGCAGAGATCCTGCTCAAGAAATCTTTAATATTAAATAAATATCACTCCATCAACTACGGCATTAACACATAAACCCCCGCACGACGACATAGTCCAATCAAACCAAAACCAACGACTCTTAAAACGAAGCCGTTTCACCATCTTCTTATTTCGACAAATCAACGCCATAGAAATTTCAATTCTATTCTTTCATCGGTCTCTCTCTCCCTGTTCTGCAAGGCTCTCTCTCTGTTCTTCTCCCCCATTTCGCTTCACTAAGCTGTCCAAAGCCCTCTCTGAGATCTCAGCCTCCACAGCGAGGCCATCCTCTGCTTCCTTCTGCTTCAAGATCCGTGCTTTTCTATGTGTCGGTGATGTACAATTTCTTCTCTATCTATACATTTCAATCCAATATATCGTCGTTTTATGTATTAATTTCCTGACCAATATAGCAGATCGGCATAATCTTCAATACCCATATGTTGGATTTTCTATGAAGTTCTTGCCTCTTCATTCTCATTCACTTAATCTTTCATAGTGCTGTCTTTCACTGTATATGTAGTTCTTGAAATTTTTGAAGATCTGCTAGATTTTGCTCTGAATTTGAATTGGGTGCATTAGTTAGTCTCAATGTCTTCGATTAGAGTTGATTCAACTAAGCCGTACTTCGCCACGAGCAGTCTCGTGGTTGGGTATGCACTCTGTTCCAGCTTGTTAGCTGTGATAAACAAGTTTGCCATTACCAAATTCAACTACCCTGGCCTTTTGACCGCACTGCAATACCTTACTTCTGCTTTGGGAGTTTGGGCTCTGGGAAAGTTTGGATTTTTACACCATGATCCCTTCTCACTCCAGACGGCCAAGAAGTTTTTGCCTGCTGCCTTTGTGTTCTACCTTGCAATCTTTACCAACACTAATCTTCTTCGCCATGCCAATGTGGATACGTTTATAGTGTTTAGATCATGCACACCCCTTTTGGTTGCGCTAGCGGATACTGCCTTTAGGAAACAGCCCATCCCATCTAAGCTTACCTTCGTGTCGTTGTTGATCATTTTGGGCGGAGCTGTTGGCTATGTGGCCACTGATTCGGGTTTCACTTTGACCGCTTATTCATGGGCATTTGCATATTTGGTTACCATTACAACTGAAATGGTTTATATTAAACATATGGTCACTAATCTCGGGTTGAACACCTGGGGTTTTGTGCTGTACAACAATCTGTTGTCACTAATGATGGCCCCACCGGTTTGGATAATAACGGGAGAGTATGCTGAAGTGTTTGGTGCTTTGGGATCGAATGCTGCGAATTTCTTTGAACCTGGTGCACTTTTCGCGGTCTCACTGTCGTGTGTGTTTGGATTGCTCATCAGTTTCTTTGGGTTTGCAGCTAGGAAGGCAATCTCTGCAACAGCATTTACAGTGACTGGTGTTGTTAATAAGTTTCTTACGGTTGCCATCAATGTGCTGATTTGGGATAAGCATGCCAGTCCTTTTGGTTTGCTCTGCCTCCTCTTAACAATTGTAGGGGGTGTTCTTTATCAGCAGTCAGTGACTGGAGCTGGCAGTGCTCCATCCCAGCGCGAAACAACAGTGTCTAAGCAGACTCCCGGCGAGAATGATGGTGATGACTTTCCTGAAGAAAATCAAGGGAAGGCAGTTTCTGGTAAACTTGCTTCTATATGAGAATTACATTCCTACCTGGTTATATTTTAGCTACTGGTGAAGCGGCAGTGCATGTTTGAAGTTTTATCTTTAGCATTTAGTATCTTAGGAATTTTTCTGTATCTGGTTTACACACGAATTATGTTCTTACAATTTGATATCTGAGAGCACTTCAGCTGATCTTTTCACCAGTGATTAATGACAATGCCGTTGTTTTTATCTGGAAATTATTTGGTGTCTGATTCATTTCTGTTACGTGATGTTTGCATGCTCTCTTGCGTAGCCCAAGGACTATTAAAACCAAAGCAATGTGTGCCAAAAGTTTTCATGTTTTTCTTTTTGTTTAGAATATTGATAGGAAGATTATTTCTTCCTGAATTAAGTTTGGGATTCCAACCTGTTTGGCGATGGGGTTATATATTACAGTTCATTGTTGGTTAGATTTCATCTCCAACTTTACAGATATTAATAGCCAAATGCCGATCTGAACAGTGTACCGCGGATTGTGCATCGTTCAATGAAAATTCAGTTTGTGAAGTTCAATATGTATCGTCAGCACCATTTACACTGAATTTTATATCATTATAGTTAAGACAAGGGGAGGGTCTTTAGTTTAGTTCAAACCTCCCCCGCTTCGCTGGTGTGATACTTTTTCTTTCTTTCTTTTGTGAAGATACTTTAGAACGTGCAGCATACAAGCACGCACAGAACTTCATGTCTACGCATCCACTTTCTGAAGTTATATGTCTTGTAGCAGTTTCCACGTACAAATTCATGCTTTTATAATGGCTTATTGATCGATCCGCTATTTGTGGAGATGCTTTGAATTAATATTAAAAATTACACCAAAACTGTGTGAATTCGTGAGTGAACAAGAATTTTGAAGCTACATCACCAAAAATCCTTACAAGAACAAGATCCATCCTGAAATCGATGGAATCGGTTCCTATCCCGCACAATAATTTCTCTGTTGTAAACTTTGGAGATGATCTTGGTTGCAGTGTGGCAATCACTGCATACACGGAGGTTTTTCACAACTCGTATTGTTGTTCCTGGGTTTGTGCTTATGAGCCCAAATGCAATTGCCAGCTTTTCACTGTGTAGGCTCAGTGCAGTCTCCTTCTCTTCTTCATCTATATCCAACAAAACCTCTGATTTCTCAGGAACATAACCAGCTTTCTTTAACCGCTCGATCATGTCTTGAAGCATTTCGTAGATGTTTGTCGATTGCGGGTGAGATGAATCACCCTTCACAAATTCATGGACAATACCATCAACCTCAATCAGACTGCAACCTGGAGCTTTCTTCACATTTCTTTCTGCCATGAGTTCCCTAATTCTTTTGGCCTCTTTCCACTTTTTCATAGAGCTATATAAGTTTGAAAGAAGCACATACGCTCCATCATCGTCCGGGTCAAGTTCTAGAAGCTGTTGAGCTGCTCTTTCTGCAGCCTCAAGGTTGCCATGGACTCTACAGGCACCAAGAAGCCCTCCCAAAACAAAACGATCCGGTGGCATTTGCATCTTCCGAATCAACTCCTCTGCTTCAGCTATGCGACCGGCTCGGCCTAATATGTCAACCATGCAACCATAGTGCTCAATGCTAGGCTGAATGCCATACACTTCATGCATCGAGTTAAAATGCGAAATTCCTTCATCCACTAATCCAGCATGGCTACAAGCAGCCAATACCCCAACAAATGTTATTGCATCTGGTTTCACTCCACTCATCTGCATCTCATGGAAATGCTCCAAAGCCTTCTTCCCTTGTCCACACATTGCAAAGCCAGAAATCAAGGCTGTCCAAGTCATAACATCCTTCTCAGGCAGCTTTCGAAAAACTTCCGATGCACCGTCTATGCTCCCACACTTTGCATACATGTCGACGAGTGTTGTCCATCTCATGGAAATGCTCCAAAGCCTTCTTCCCTTGTCCACACATTGCAAAGCCAGAAATCAAGGCTGTCCAAGTCATAACATCCTTCTCAGGCAGCTTTCGAAAAACTTCCGATGCACCGTCTATGCTCCCACACTTTGCATACATGTCGACGAGTGTCGTCCCTAGGGCAACATCCAACTCAATCTTCTCCTTTTCAATATAGGCATGCAGCCACTTTCCAAGCTCCAGAGCACCCAAATGGCTGCAAGCAAGCAATAAACTTACCATGGTCACCTTATCCCCCTTTTCGCCCTTAAGCTGCATTTCACGAAAGAGTAGGAAGGCCTCATCATAATTACTATCCTCAACATGTCCATTGATCATAATGTTCCAACTGAACAAGTTCTTCTCGGGCATCTTGTCAAACAAATCTCGAGCAAGCAATACACATCCACATTTACAATAAACATCCATGAGTGCCGTATTGAGCTTCAAATGGTTTCCAAAACCGTACTCTTCAATGTACTGGTGCACCCTTTTGGCCATTTTCAAATCCCTTGCCTTGGCACATGCTGTCAAAACATTAACCAAAGTAACCTCGTTAGGATCCACACTTTCACTCTCCATCTTATCAAA